ATGACGTTTGTACTATTGTTGCCCCCAATTTCCAGATGAGAAGAGTAAGACAAAGACAGGTGAAATGACTTGCCCAGGTGACTCAGCTAGTAGATGGTAGAGCCAGGATTTGAACCCCATCAGTTTAGCTCCCACCATCTTTGCGACCTTTCTGCCATCGTGAACTCTTGGGCAAGACATTTTGCCGTTCTGACCTCTCTTACCTATGCAAGGAGAGAAGCAAGCCGATCAGATCATCTGCTCCATAGCCCTCGATCCTAAATATCTGCATTTTGAAAATTATAAAGGAAAAACATTAGTGCTTAATTCTTTATCTTTGCCTCTAATATGAGAATATCCTTAAAGCAAGGTGTCCTAAATCCCACATACACAAAAGTCTTTTCACTGTTCCTTGTGTTCCATTCAAGAACCAAGCTGTTCTTGATTTGCTTTTTGCGCACTTCTCACTGCAAGAGGAGGGTCTTGCAGAAGCTTAAGATGATGGCAAGCCAGTCCCCCCATGTGCACGTTGAAAACAGGATCTGGAGATAGAGTGCTGGGTTTGATTCCTGGCCTTGTCACCACTAGTTACTTAACTTCTCTGTTCCTCAGAGTTCTTATCTGTGAAGTAGGAAACTAATGGTACCTTTATTGTTACAGCAGATTCATTGAGTACCGGCTACGTTATGTACCCTCAGCATGTGAAATTTCAGCTATGAGATCTGAATACTTTTATAGATTTTCAACACAATCATCAAGAATGACAGGTTGACTTCACCCCCTTTTTATCTACAGGACCCCAAAGGCCATTCACCAGGTTCCTGTTTCCTCGCTTGTCTCCCAGAATTGTTGGAGTCTTTAAGAAGCTACATAGTGTGCTGATAATGATGATAAACATAGTAATTACTATACACACACACACACACACACACACACGCACACACATACTACATAGCGACCATTTACTAAGCCTATCATCCATGTGCCAGGCACCTTACCATGTGCTTTGTATGTGCAATCTCATTTGATGCCTACAAACCTTATATGATTATATATTTCACAGATGAAGAAATGGGTCCAGGGAGTTTAATTGTCTGAGATTATGTAGCTTGCTAGGGAGCATCAGATTTGCCATTTGAATGTAAGTCTGCCTGGCTGTAGCCATTATGCTGTCCTGCCTCTTCATTCCTCCTTCTGCCATGACCTGCAGTAATCTTGAGTGTGTGTTCTCTTATGCTACTGTCTGTGTACTTGCTTGAGTTTAAATTTCCATATCAGTAATTTCATGTGTCTAAGAGTAACAGAAAACCTGAAAACAGTGACTTAAACAAATTAGGTACAAAGAATTCCATAGGAGGGCATTTCCAGGTTGGTATGGTGACTCCATGGTGTCATCAGGAACTCCTTCTAACTGCCTAGGATCTAGCCCTCATTGTTTTGCTGGTAAAATGGCTGCAGGAGCTCCAGTTATCACTCTTGTGTTCCAAACATGAAGTTGAAGTGGGAAGACAGAGGCAAAAGGGGGAAACCAGCCAAGTCTTCCCCTCTTTAAAACTTCCCCGAAAACTCTACCCAGCAATTTCCATGTATCTATCTTTGGTTGGGATTGTGTTATATTACCACTCTTAGTTACAAGGGAGAGCACAAATTGTATTTTTTTTAGCTGGGCACATTGCTGTCATGTACAAAATTGGGATTCCATTAACATGAAACTTGATTTGTGAGTTTTTTTAAATAAATCTAATAAATTCATCTGGTATGACCCTTCCCCAGTGACTGACTACCTGGAGGAAACTTTACATGTTACAGAAGCTGAGAGAGACAAAATATGCTTAGGAAAACCAAAGAGTTGGTTCAGCAGAAGCTAGGAACCAGGTAGACTCTTTCCTGGGTACTCCAGAGAGTTGTCAAGAGTACAGCCTGGCCCAGACCCAGGGAAACGAGGGGCAAGGTTTGGAAGAGGGGTGTAACCCTGGCAATTTGAATCTAACTCCACTTGGATCACAAGTCATAGGGGGAAAGCAGAGGAATCCCAGACCCTAAATATACCTTAGGCATTAATAAAGCTTCACGCCTTGCAAGGTTTTACTTCATAAATATATTCTATGGGTGGAAAAGCAGTTATTTCAAGTTTGTGTTGGGGGATTGCATGGCAGGCGGGGTTAACTGAAGAACAGAATGAGGAAATGGAGTGTAACAGAGCAATGATGTGCCTTAGAGCCAAGTCTACCTGAGTTTGAATCCTGACACTGCCACTTTGGAGCCATGTGACCTTGGACAAGTTACCTAACCTTTCTAACTCTCCTATTTCTAATCTTAAAAACAAAGAAATCAATAGCATCTTCCCCATGTGCTTGCTGTAATAAGTGACTATAACCTAGATAGAATCTTCCATCCAGAGCCTGGCGTGCACCTGCCGGCAGTGGTATTGCTGGCTTTAGTACTGCTGTCTCGTGGCTAGGTGTTCTCAGTCAGCAGGTGCTGGCTGTGTACTTGCTGTGCGCCCCATTGGATTGCCGGTCATGGTCTGGGTTTCTGTTGAAGGACGGATAGAGGAGATCTAAGAGGGTGGGTGGAGAAATTAATTTTCAAAGCAACAGCCACAAGGAAATGCCCTGAGCTTTTGACGTCAACTAAGGCAGGAAGTCTGATGCTGGGTCAGCTAAACTGTGGGTTTCAAATGCTCATTTGAGGCCACCTAAAAAAAGCTCATGATGGAAGGTTTCATTTCTCCAAGTTTCACCTTCCTTCTTTATAAAACGAGGGTACCTGTGATGCCTACCTCGCAGGGTTGTTGCAAGGATAGCGCCTGTAGAGCCCTTGGCGCATAATATGCACCCAATAAATGCTACCTACTATTATTAATGATGCCGCTTCCCTCCCTCTTTGCCCAAGCAAGAGTGGGGCTTGTGGATCCCAGTTTGTTTGCCTATCTTAGCTCCAGTAATGCCGTAAAACTTTTAACTAGAGCATAAACTGCACGTATAATCATACTAGGTCCAAAAATGATACTGTGATAACGTGATTAATAATGAGTTCTTAGATGGCGTAATGTTTTAAGGTGCTTCTGTAGACTTGTAAATTTCATTGGCTTTAGTGCTTATGGAAATGAGACTGACAGCTCATGCTGCAGGGCAGCAAACAGCACGATCCACCCATGTTTATGTTCCAAGTTCCAAATAGCCTTGTGTCTCAGGTCAAAGCTTCACATTTGCCATCTCTCTGCCAGTAACACAGGCTTCGGTGAGCGTGACTTAAACATTCTTGCTTCTAATTGCTGAGATGTGAACAGGCTTGACTAGGAGTTAGGGGAAAATCTCAGAACAAGCCATGTTCCTGGAAATAATACGCTGGTACAACATGCACTGCCATCGCCAGGACCTCTCTGTATTCATGTTAACTTTTGTCCTTTCCAAAGCACGCTCCCGTGAGTTTGTCATTTGATCCTCTCTGAAGCCTAGGAACAGCACAAAGGAGATTTCATTTCCATTTTTTAGTTAAGAAACTCAAGGCTCAGAAAGGTGAAGTGACTTGCTCCTGATTGGCGCGGGCTGCATGTGAACCCCAATCTTCTACTCCGGACCCTTCTTGCCTGACTGCGCGTTGCCGCCAGCCTATGCCCCCGTACGTCTGTAAGAAAACAGCATTCCCGTATCTTCGAACCAGGCTGTGCCTTTAGAAGGGGTGAGCTGTAGACACACACACCCCTGTGCTGTCGTTTTAAACTGTTCAGAGGCCTGGAATTCGCTGTATTCATAAAGGTTGAGGAGGGAGGAGGTGGGGGTGACAGCTCGCTGCCGCGCTGGAGCAGTGTGACCCCTCAGGCTGGATCAGGACTGCTCCAGGGGATCCTCTCTGCGTGGACTCGATGCTCCCCCACATGGCAGGCACTGGGCTGTCCCCGAGAACAGGTCTCTGCTGTGAACCCTGCTCCTATTCCCCTCTCCACACACGCGCCCCTTCCTGGACTTCCGGGGCCTGAAATCCCACCATTCTGGGCCTTGAGGACTAATTGTCCTTTAAAGAGATTCCAGTTAAAACAGAAATACTTTCACTGTGTGCAACAGCATATATGTTTGTTTTTTTTAAAAAACAAAAACTTGAGCACTGTTTTTGGGGGTGGGTCACAAACCTTAGTTCCTTGGGCCCTACAGTATCCGCGTGTGTAAGACGTGGGTAGGAAGTGATATTGTAAAGATCAAATGAGGCGTACTGTGTGTAAAAGGTCCATAACCATGTAAGCTCGTCAGATAGCTGGGATGATGGGAGGGTCAGAGGAGGCGGTGGAGGAGGAGAGAGGTGGCCGAACCTAGAGCTCAGAGCACTGGGTCTCACCCAAGGGAGCTCCATGATGGGGGCCTGAAGGCACTCTTGGCTGATGTCATGGTTTTGCCCAGGACCGAACCAGTTGCAGCCTTCAAAGCCATTTGGGTTGTTGTGACCTCCAGCCATCTGTGTCTGGGAACGTAAAACAAATGGTTAATGGCATCAGATGGTTAATGATCTCAAATGTCCCCTGCTCACTGCCGTAAGAGGGAAAAGAGCCCCCTGGAGAAATTACCGTGGATGCTGTTTTCAAAGTTCCAATTAACTGTGTGTTCGGGAAAGCCCATCTTCTGCCAGCTATTCTGATCGGGAAGGAGAAATTGAGGGTGATGGAGGAGCTGTGCCTGCGAGGCAGCTTGAATGGTCTTTACAACGTCAAGAAGGCAGACGTAGGGCTTGTATTCAGCACCAGCAGTCATGGAGCAAAGCCAGGAGGGTCATGTCCCAGGGCGGGTCAGGAGCTGACTTGCTTCAGTCAAAATACGTGCCTAAGGACAGGTGTGACTACCTGACCTTAAACTCCTAAGGTGCACAGGGGCCATCCTCTGGTTGCTTTTTCAAAATACCTTTTCTCCACTGTTGCTTGAGCCAAAGATGCCTCTGCTTGCCTCTCTTTGGGGCACCTGCTGGTGGTTGTGTCCTGTCATTTCACTGGTTTAAAGCTTCCTCCCTTCTTGCCCGTCTCTCTCCTCCAGCTGGTGAGACCTGCAACGACTTCCACCCGATGTTCTTCACTCACGACAGGTCCTTCGAGGAGTTTTTCTGCATCTGCATCCAGCTCCTCAACAAGACATGGAAGGAAATGAGGGCAACTTCTGAAGACTTCAACAAGGTAACGTGGATCCGAGGTAGAGGGAGGGGCTTCCCATGTCATCAGAGGGGTCTGTTGTATGGTCCCTCAGCTGTGGCGGTTGGCAAGGTGGAAGAATGAAGAAGACTGCAACCTAAGGCTGATTTGAGAGTGGAGAAAGACAGACATCCCTCTGTAGACACGAAATTGTGTGCTGGGGATGGCCTTTCACTCTGGGGAAAAGCTTGGAGCAGCTTTGCTCCATTTGTCTAAACTGGGGCCACTACAGAGACCCTTTCTTGGGAAATATTGTCAAGGTGAACTTTTTCCTTTCATGGCATTAGTTTGGGATGCCTTGTCAAGATATTGCAAGATCTGCTGGGGCAGGTGCCTTCCTTCCACCTGTGCAGGAGACTGGCATGGAGCAAACGAGATCAGGAAGACTGCCCTTGGCCAGTCTAGTGTTTTTGTGGATTACAGATGTGTTGAGATTATCTGCTCTGTGCTGTGTCAAAAATAATTTTTATTGAAATGAAAGATCTCTTTTAGATAATTGAGTAATTAAGCTTATATGTAGCATTTCTTGATTTATAGTAAGCATTTGATCCTTTGAACTGAGGTGTCCTGTGGTTTTCTATATTATAACTTCTTTTAGAAGTGTAACTTTCTCATATTTATGTGTGGATGTTGGGGGGAGAGACGAGTGTTAGCCAACTCAAAGGAAGCAGAAGCACGGTCTGTGCTTTTAGAGATAAGCAAACTCCTTATCCTTTATCCGTAAAGGCATGAGTCACAATAATAACTGACGGCATTCAGACTTTAATACTATTAATTTACAACCGTGCATGGCTCTAGGTGTGGTTGACACCGTCCCCCATGCCCACTCACCTGGCACCGGGGACGTGACTGCGTGTGGGAGTCTGAGCGTGCGGCTCACTGTCATGCTGCGGGGCCTGTGTGGGCTCATGCTCAGTGCATAACATGATCTCATTTCAACTGTTCTTAGCCTTCTTGTTGGTCTTTGCCTCCCTGTCACCTTCTCTCTGAATTTGCGTCTCTTCCTTCTTTTCCATTGTGTTTCTCGTTTGTGAGATCTTGAACCAATGCTGGTTGAAAAGAGAACAAGCCAGGGAAAGGGGGACAGTCAGGTGGGAACCCTGACTGTCTCCCTCCACACAGTGAGCTCACCTGCCCTTACAGCAGACGAACACCACTTCATCTCTGTCATCAAGGCAATCCGTGCATCTTGGCCATCACTAAACTCACTGAAGTAGGCCCAGCACTGCGCCTCCATGGAGAGCCCTGGTCTGGAAGCTGCGATCTAGAACTGCCGTGTATCTGAGCCTCTCTGCCCAAGGTCAGGCGGGATTCAAGCAGGAAATTGGAGAAAAGAAGCCTATTAATTTCCTTGTGATTGTAACTGCAGCCTCCCAAGTGCACTTCACTTGATTATGAGAGAGTTTGCGATTCAGGTGCAAATCATCCCTGGGAAAGAGGGAAGAAAGAGCAGGGAGGCCTTCGTTCAATCAAGCCAAAAAAAAAAGAGTTAAATCATAGTCTTTGAAAGTGGCCAAGGCCACTTTGCCCTGGATCATTTCAGCTCTTCCTGCGCTGCAGTGTGAAAGCCATTGGTCCTCTGCTTCACGTGCCGAGGACACCTGTTCCTCCAGGAGAAAGAGACCTCAGTGGCTGTCGTGGGTTTTGGCATCAGGTCATCTGCTTCCTGAGAGATTTCATGTGTCCTGCTTTTCCTCAATTACAGAAATCTGCATTTTTGTAAATGATAATTTTGCAGATATTATTGTTGTTGCTCTATGTGCAGATAAGGTGTTTAGAAAATATTATCAAAGTTTGGCAGAGGACTGACTTGGGGGATGGGCACTCAAACACTTAAATCCTATAAAAGTTATGGTTTATGATGTGAAGCGCCAAGAGTGCAGTGTCGGCACAGGAAATCAGAGGCCTTGGGCTGGAGGAGGTGGGCAAGGCTGGTGGAGTGAGGTGACCATGGCTCCTGGGTCCCTCCGGTTTGTCAAGGCTGTGTGCTCAGGTTGGTGACGATGACATCCTGCCTGCCCAGGGTAAGGTCCTGCCAGGTGACAGCAGCCCCCCAAAGTGGCACTCTGAAACTTTTCTCATAATTATATGGCTGCAAAAACTGTCTTCAGTAAGATCTAAAAGACAGGTTTGGGGTACCGTTTCTTATTGCGGCCTTAGTGCCATGTTTTTGCATTGTCTGTAGATCACACACTAATGATTGGGGTCACACCTCTGCTGCCACGTAGGGATGGCAGTTTATGGCTGAGGGCAGGCGGCTCGTGGCCTGAGAGGCAGTTCCATAGTCCAGAAGTCAAAGATGAGTCTCACTGGTCTAAAAATCAAGGTGTCAGCAGAGCAGTGTTCCTTTCCGGAGGCTCTAGGGAGAATATATTCCCTTACCTTGCCTTTTCCAGCTTCTAAAGGCCACCTGCGTTCCTTGGTGCGTGCCCTCTTTGTCCATCCTCAAAGCCAGCAAGGGCAGCTTGAGTCCTTCCACATCCTATCCCATCCCTCTGATCCCTACTCGCCTCCCTTTCCACTCTTTAGGACCCTCGTGATTACACTGGGCCACCTGGATAATCCAGGATGATCTCCTTATCTTGAGGTCAGCTGATAACAACCTTAATTCCACCTGCAACCCAAATTCCCCTTTGCCATATAAGGTAACATATTTATAGGTTCTGGGGATTGGAACACAGACACCATTAGCGGGGAGAGGGCCTTTATACTACCTATTACAGTGTATATTTTATTATATTAGATTTTTAGGTGTGTATATCAATTTAAATTAATGAAATATGGACAGACGAACCTTTTGTTAGTTTTTCTTTTTACTAATAGATATAATAGCAGTCACAGAGTTCTGCCAGTGGCTGCTGAAATACAGATATAATTATGTCCCTTTTCTTTTATGTCCCCATTCTGTTCTTTAAAAAAAGAAGGCCCCAGTGTGAGAGCCTCTAGTTCGGTTTGGAGACGGTGTTTCTGATTTTTTCCCTGCTGCCTGCTGATCAGCCACTGTTCTGCTTACCTGATAATAAGTTGTAGAAGAGAAAAGAAGTGAAAGTTAAATCAGTTCACTTTTTTTCTTGTTATTAAGTTGGTAGCAGAGGAGATTGAATTTAGGAACAAATATGGATTTTGAGTTACTGGTAGATTTAATGTTTTTTCTTCTTCTCTAAGACCGTCCAAATCAAATTCAGAAATATCTTGAAAGAGCCCAACATGAGACATAATTTCTTTTGAACTTTCTTGGACACCGTCTCAGGCTGTTGCCATTTTGAACAGAGCATGGAAGGCGGATTTAATCATCAACCCTGTGACCCAGGGCTCTGTGAGCAGGGCTCGGCTATCTGCCTCTCTAGCTCCTCACTGGAGAAGCAGTGCCTCTCAATTCAAAATTTTGATTTGTTCAACAAACTACACTAGATTCTATCAGAGGCAGGAATAGCTTCTGCAACCTGCCTTGCTTGGGACACCAGTTTATAGATATCTAGTGCGTGGTAGTTAATGCCACTGCTGGAAGAGAGTGTTTGGAAAAGCAGCTGTCTTCTGCTCTTCCGGGCTTGGGAAGCAGCAGATGGAATGTTTTTTATTTATATAAGAGAAGTAGAATTGGAGAGTGATTAAAATATTTATGCTTTGGAAAATACTTTCTTTCAGTTTCTCAATATAGCAGTGTGCAGAATAATCCATTGATTCAGGCCATTGAGTTTGTATTCTATGTTTTTGTCTTTTATTACCAATATTTTAGAGCATGCATTATTCATTTTTATGGGCATTAGAGAAGAGCTAAACTGCAGCTGGATACCTCGGCACACAAATGGCCCCATAATCACTTCACTGAAGCCCCCCATTCTTGAGCAGGGTAAGAAAGAGGATGCAGTCGATTTGGATATTTCAAGCATGGGAATCTCACGTAAAGTATGTGTGGCTGACTGCTCCACTGTAAAAATTCTAACGAGGGTGTACACTTCAAAATATATGTTTGTGTGTAGCAGTGTTTCTCTACCTTGGCTGTATATTAGAATCACCTGGGGGCTTTTGAAAACCCTGTTATCCCAGTACCCGACTGCACCACAGACTAATTAAATCATTGGAGGGAACAAATGAACGAATATTTTCATTAAGGTCGATTTGATCATTAAAGGTGATTTGTGTCAATAGAATCCCCATCAGTTGACACATGTGACTCTTATCACCAGCTCCTGGAAACTGCAGGCATAGATGGAGGTAGTCTGTCTGTTGGTCTTTATGTCCCGGATTCTGCACCTGGTTCTGCTACTCAAGAGTTCTATGCCTGAAAATTTAAAAATAATAATTTTTGAAAGGATCCCATTGCCATCTCTTATGGTGGTGTGATATTAAGTTGAAGTAATTAATGTAAAAATGCGTTGAGGAAGTAGAAATGTCATATGTAGTTGTAAAGTGTTCTTTTTATATTTAATAAGATAAATCCTGTCTATGAAAAATGAGTAAATTGCCCTTTTCAAAAAAAAAAAAAGAGTCTTTTTTGGCCATTATGGTAAGAAAAAGAAATAAAACAAAAAGTAAATCTGTCTATGAATCCCACATTAAGTTCTGAACTGTATTAATAACCCATTTAACTTTGGCAAAAATAGGCTTTGAACTGAACTTTATATGGATTTCAGAAGTGTCTTCTTCCAGACAACTTTATTAGATACCTTAGTTTCCCGTGTAAGGCACGGAGTAGTAGCCTAAAAATCAGCAGGTCCCACGATTCTCATATACTTTATGGCTGGTGAAAACTAAGGCCTCCCCAACAATTACCTATTTGCCCAGATCTCTCTAGTGATGGCTGAGCCCTTTTAAATACCATCAAAATATTTGTTCATAGCATTGATGTCACTTTAGATGCTATGAAAATCGGTGTTATAAACCAAGATCAGATGACTCTGCCAAGCTTTCAAATTACCAAAATGGAAGAAACTAGTGATTTGAAAAATGAAGTCACTCTAGAGTAAAAGTACTATTTTGAAACTTTATCCAACAGCATAAGCTAAGCACACATTGCAGAGGTTAGAATCTCAGGCTTGCAGATGAGAAACCATCCCTTAAAATAGCAGAGACTGTGTATGGGGAGAACCCCGGCCCATTAAACAAAGCTGCAGCTGCCCCTGGCCAGGCTGTGAGCTCCATCCGCGTCAATGGGAGAAAAATCTCAATTAGGAAGAATTGGAGAGCAGGGCAGAAGGAAACATCCCAAGAAAGCCTCTGGAAGATTTTGCATAGGAAATAACCACCAACTAGTCACATCTAGTGGATTACAGTGTGGTATAGAAAAGGGATTGTGTTTGAAACCTTAAAGGCGCAAACACATGAATAAAAAAGGGAAATATGTTCATTGCTCGAACTGTTTGCGGCTTACTGACTTTCTGTGCATGCTTTTCAGGGGACAATTATATATTCAGGAGTCCCTTTCCTGGGCCAGCTCAACTTCATAGTGGCGCAGAAGGCGCTCTGTTGGTTAGCCGAGCTGGCCTAGGGAATGAAAGGTGGTCTGTAACTCTAACCATGAATAAACATGAGTCTCCTCATTTGCATGAGGCAGGTGACTGTAAAATATCTTGGAGCCAGCTGTGAAAGGAAGCTTTGTGAGTCTGTGCCCAGGGGAAGCTGGGAGGACTCGGAGTTGTTTATCTTCATTAGGATTCCATCTAGTGCTGCTGTTATTGATCTGAACTGGGCCTGGTGTGCCTAATAAAGTAGGTGTACGTTTTAATTGAAACATGAATATTTGAGTAGAGGAGAAGTCTTTTAAAGAGCCCTAATGTCATACAATGAGGTTATCCATTTTTCAGCTGTCTAGACCATTAACAAGTATTTATGCAAAAGGCTTCTCATGTTTCACAAAGGTCTTTGGGTTTGCCACGCAGGCAATCGAACCTCTTCTAGAAGCGAATGCATTATGTGAATAGATTTATGTTTTCCTTTGATGTTTCCCACTGAATAGGTAGCAGATGGTTTCATGTGTGTCTACTTTTAAGCTATTCATGTAAGGCAGGGTTATCCTTTTCCATGGAATTTGCCACTTTCTGTTGGACAGCAATCACGGTATGTCCCTGCAGTCCTCACTATCAATTATGCTATCTAGAGACAGCAGAAAGACTGAGAAAGTGACTTGGCCCACTCATTTTTTTTCAACAAGTATTGGTTTAAATAGACCCCAGTGTGTATACTTTATAAAGAGAAATGTATCC